AAAGATTTTTTTTTTTTAATGTTTTTTATTTATTTCTAGGAGAGAGAGAGAGAGAGACAGCGTGAGCAGGGGAGGGTCAGAGAGAGAGGGAGTCACAGACTGAAACAGGCTCCAGGCTCTGAGCTGGCAGTCAGCACAGAGCCCGACGCTGGGCTCGAACCCACGAACCGTGAGATCATGACCTAAGCGAATGTCGGACGCTTAACCGACTAAGCCACCCAGGCGCCCCAGTTTGGAAAGATTTTAAAACAATGTCTATCTCCAGGCCCCATACAGACCAGTTAAATTGGAGTCTCTGTTAAGCTTAGGCACTGTATTTAAGTAAAGTTCCTGGTATGATAAATTAGTACATAAATCCAAAAAAATCTATACAGATCATAAATATCTAATATCCGTCTTTTTAAAATGATCATTTCTTGAATAGATTATCATAACTAGTTTAAAAAGTATTATACCTGCATATCTATGACTATAAATAATAATACTTAAAAAAATTTTTTTAACTTTATTTATTTTTGAGAGAATGAGCAGGGGAGTGTCAGAGAGAGAGGGAGACACAGAATTCAAAGTTGACTCCAGGCTCTGAGCTGTCAGCGCAGAGCCCGTTGCAGGGTTTGAACTCACAAACTGTGAGATCATGACCTGAGCTGAAGTTGGAAGCTTAACCGACTGAGCCACCCAGGCCCCCGAAAATAATATTTTATATCTTTCAAAGAGAGCAGCTAGTACTGGTATCCAACAGTATATCTGCAATTACATCAATATTTAGCCAACTTCAATAAGGTTAAGTGGATGCTCTAAACATACTATTTTTTTTGAAAAGCATGGTAATAGGAAATTCATATTTGTAGAAGACATAAAACTTTACTCAAGACTTTAAAATAGTTACAACTCAAAGTTTAAAATAACTTCATTAGCATTAGAATTACTGTATTAAGGGAGCATATGTCTCTTGAGTTAAGTGAACCCCAGTGACAAGTAGCAGAATTTAGAGCGTTCCAAAAAGACCCTACCAGAGAAAACTGGTAACATCGGCAGAAAGAATCTCGACATATACTATCAAGAGGTGGGAGTGGGCGTGGTAATGGGTAGGATCAAAAGTTATCAACTGGAGTTCCTGTGACCTGTTCAGAGCAACTGGAGGTTGGAGGACTCCACTGAGGGGGAATTTCTAAAGGACCCACAAAAAGGGAAACTACCAATAGAATAAAGGCACCAAAGTCAGACTAACATTTTCCTGCCTCTATTATTTATTTTCTCGCTCCATTGGAGGGATTAAAATAGCAGCAGTGAGGAAAAACAAAAAAAAACTGTAATAGACCTATTCCTTTGTTCCAAACTATAATTTTTTAAAAATTAGATCACCCCTGAGCTGAGGATGCAGAGAAACTTTAAATCTAAAGTGATGTTGAAACTTTGACTTATATTTAAGCAAACATGAAACTGTTCCTGGGTAAGTCTTGAAACATACAGATAAACTAAAAGAGTAAGCAGGCAAGGTCTACAGTGACGGACATTTTTGATGCAGTACAATGTTACTCAGAAGCAACCAAGTGAATTTCCAGAATCATGAGCTCTATAACAGCAACTTTTGTGAAGAAATGGGACTTTCAGACAAATGGCTGTAGAATTGTTGACTTAAGGCCCAGTTGAGGGCCTGTTTGTAGAAAGCTGAAACTCTTGAGCTTTTAGGCCATTTAAACCAAGTGAACCTTTAGAGAGGATGTTATGGGTTGAACTCTGTCTCCTAAAAGTGACTATGTTGAAGTTCTAATCCCTAATATTACAGAATGGGACCTTATTTGATCTTTGCAGTCCTTGTACAGCAGCTACCCGAGGGCTCTCTCAGTACCCTCCAGGGCTCTTCACCGCTTTCACTTGAGGCCTATATCTCCTCCTGAATGCATCCATCCTCCCTGACCTATCATAGCTACTGTTTCTCGGAGTTGGCGACTGACACCTGGACAGGGGAGGGCCATTGTTGTACAGTAGGTATGTATGAAGGGGGAGGTGGTTCTTCCCAAACTTAGGTCTCAGCTGTCCTTCTCACATTGCCAGCTTAATTCTCCCTTTTCTCCAAGAGCATAAACCATTATGGCAGTGCTGAGAGAGAGAGAGAGAGAGAGAGAGAGAGAAGAAACTTAATCTGTAATACCTACAAGTGTGGGACCTATACGAGATATCACACAGGAAGATGAATGTGTCTTAAGTAAAATGTGTTTGAAGAGCAGTGGTTTGAGAAAAATAGTGAGTTCATAGTTTATTCTACAGAATCCAACTAGGAAAATAAACTAGTTCCCAATGTTCATTACACTTAAGAGGAATGAGAGATCACTATGAGAAAGAGGATCTTTTATTTGGTGCAATTAAAAAGTCATTCTTGGGACACTTGGCTGGTTAGTTAAGTGTTCAACTTGTGATTTCGGCTCATGATTTGTGAGACTGGGATTTGCTCTCTTCCTCTCTTTCTGCCCCTCTCCTGTTTATACTCTCCTTCTCTTTCTCTCTCTCTCTAAATAAGTAAATACATATTTTTTTTTAAAAAAAGATCATTCTTATTTATCCTCCTAATGGTCTGAATTACTATCCTTATTTGAATACTTAGTTGAAATTTCAGCCATGGTACATCAATTAAAATATATAGTAAGGGATATAATATTCAGTTTCACACTGGAGGTATAAAAATGGTATAGTTTTTCTTTTTTTTTTAATTTTTCATTTATTTCTGAGAGAAAGACAGCATGAGCAGGGGACAGTCAGGGAGAGAGGGAGACACAGAATCTGAACAGGCTCCAGGCTCTGAGGTACCTGTCAGCACAGAGCCCGATGTGGGGCTCGAACCCACTAATTCAGATATCATGACCTGAGCCAAAGTCAGACGCTTAACTGACTGAGCCACCTAGGCGCCCCTAGTTTTTCATTTTTAAAAAAAGGAATAAAATTGGACACCTACCAGATTTCATGGAAAATCTTGGTTTCTTGATTTGGGAATTCTCCTTTGCTCTTCCTGGGGGTCCAAAAATTTTTGGAGGCTTCTTGGTATCTTAGAAAGAGGTCTGTGGTGAACTATCTTAATCTCCCTTGGCCTGCTTTTGTGGCTATTTGAGAGCAGGTGGCTTCATTGGCAGCAACCTCTCCTTCCCATCAGTGTCTTACCGAGTCCCCAGACACACCTGGAAAGCCACTTCTGTCATGCCTGGGGTCTTCAGTGGGGCCACGTGCAGAGGACACATTCCTTCATTCTTTCAGTCTTATGGAAAGCAGTTTCATCAGATTGGTTCACCTGCTTTTCCTTCAACCTTTGGAGGCTTTGTTGTTTTCTGTTAGCAGCCTATGCTGCTGTAGGGAAGGAAGAATATCTTCTTTTCCCTCTACCTTTGAAGTTCTAGGCCAAAGCCCTATAACAAAAAGACAAATTAACACAATAAAAGCATACAATTTTTTTAAATTACAAGTTTTACATGACAGAGGAAACTTCAAAAGGAAATGAAGACCTGAAAAAGCAGTTAAACCTGAGTTTTTAATGCTAGCTTTGATGAAGAGTGGAAGGTCATGCGGAAATGTGACAAGTAACAAAGGGTATGAGCTAAGTGTAGTAAACTGGGAACACAGTGAGGCCTATTTATTTCAATTCCTCTCAGTGTCTTAGAGATAAAGATGTATGGGGAAGGGGGCACCTCTCACAGGAAGGTTCGATGACTTACTTAGGGGACGGTCAGAAAGTCCTTCTTGCACTTGCCATTTCTCAAATTCTCTCAGCCGAAAATATTTAGTATGCCGAGGTGCCATGTTTTGGTGTAAATGACAGTCTTGAATCCTATTGCTGCCAAGGACGCCAGTTTTTAATAACAAACATTTATCACCTTTCTGGAACAAGAGAAGCCTAGGCCCCGAGGATTACATTTCTGCTTGTCTTTCATGTTGCACAGATCCAATGGGACTGAGGTGGAAAGTGGTAGGCAATCTCTTTCTTGTCGTGGGTTTTCATAAAATGTGTTTCCCAGATATTCTATTCTACCATATTACACAATGCCAATTGAATTATCACATAATGTAATTTGATGTGCTTTGAGAATTCTTAAACCACCAACTCAACTAAGAGGAACATAGTGAAAGGAGATGGGGAAGCATACTTTGGTCTGGCATAGGACAAGGTAATTTCGTTTACAATTCTGCTTTTCTCTCACATTGAACACACTTTAAACATGACTTCCTCAATATGAGCAGCCCACTATTTATTTGTGTGTAAAAGCATCAGCAATGAAAACACAAGAAAAGACAATGGGAACAGACATATGGGTGATTGGCTACTCATGTTGGGGCATTGCTGAGGCTGACGTGCACAGAACATGTTGCATCTTCAAACATGAATTGGTTTGCTAATGAAACTGCATTTGTTGCAGTCAAAGGAGAGTTATAAGATAGACAAATCACTAAAATTCTGATTTGAGTAAGACATAGATACAGAGAATAATCTTTGCAAATGTGTATGATAATATATGTATATAACCAGAGTGAAAAAATATATAAATCTAATATATCTACTTCAGATATGTAAATACTCATTTAATTTTTTATTTGTCTTATCTACAACACCAGTTATTGAAGAGAGTGAGTACTTGTTTAGACTCTGGTAAACTTCTAATATGACAAGATGGGCTGATATACTTCCTATAAAAATTCTGCTACTAACTTTTTCTCTTGCCTTCATCCATTTATGATTGGGTACAGTTGCTAATTTGATTTCCTCACGGAGCACAGTAAATATGAGAGATCTCAACAAAAGTCTATAGATTTAAATTATATTTTAAAATATAAATGTAAAAGAATAATTATTTTTCTGAGAACCTGATATTATCTTTGGAAAGAATTATAAGTTATTTATTATCCTTATTGGAGTTAATTACATTAATTATTTGTACTGAATTAACAATGCCAAATGGAAGAAGGTTAATTAATTGAATAAATGTTTTTTTCTTTTAAATTTCTTTCTGTTTCAGTTGATTTATCTTTAGTGAATAAGGATGAAAATGCCATCTATTTCTTAGGAAATTCTCTTGGCCTTCAACCAAAAATGGTTAAAACATATCTGGAAGAAGAACTAGATAAGTGGGCCAAAATGTAAGTATTATTTCAAAAGTTATCATTCAGCATCTTACACAAGAACTTTATTTTTTCTCCAAATTTTTATTTAAATTCCAGCTAGTTAACATGCAGTGTAATGGGTTTCTGGTGTAAAATTGAGTAATTCATCACTTACATGTAACACCCAGTGCACATCACAAGTACTCTTCTTAATCGTCATCACCTATTGAGCCCACCCCCTGCCCATCTCCCCTCCAGTAACCATCAGTTTGTTCACTATAGTTAAGAGTCTGTTTCTTGGTTTGCCTGTCTTTTTTCCCCCACTATGTTCATCCAGTTTGCTTCTATAATTCCATATATGAGTGAAAAAATATGGAATTTGTCTTTCTCTGACTGACTTCCTTTCTTTAGCATAGTATACTCAAGTTCCAACCACATTATTGCAAATTACAAATTTTCCTCCTGTTTATAGCTGAGTAAAATTCCATTGCATATATACCTTTTTCATTTTAGATAGACAATTGGGTTGCTTCCATAATCTGGCTATTGTTCATAATGCTGGTCTAAATATCAAGGTGCATGTATTTCTTCTAATCAGTAAGAACTTTGAAAATCACACTAGGTTTTCTAATATTTTGAAAGGTGTACATTAGACTCTTGGAAGTTTAGGACACAGAAGAACCTTAGGAATCATGGCATTCAATACTCTCATTTTATTAATGACATAACTTGGATCAGTAAATAAGATCATATGGAAAATTAGTGGCAAAGTGAAGAGTAACACTTTTACAATATTAAAAAAAAGTGTCTCTCCCAAGTGGATCCATTTAAATCATATGTATTCATTTTAATTTATTCAATGACTAATTAAAGGAATTAATATTTAGAATTAAATTCAGTATTTTCATGATCATTCTTGCTAAACTCTATCACACTAATTTTTATAAATAAGAAAATACAAATTATTGAGTGGGGGGAAAGGTAAGTGGAGCAGAAGGTACTGCCATCCCCAAACTGAGCATGCTTACTAAGAAGATGCTCCATTTGGGCTTAGCTACATAGATTTGCTCCCACCATGCAGGAATCTGAAATCTTAAATCCGTTTTTTTCCACCATCTCTTCTGTTCTATGTTTACTCTTCTGCCGATGAAACCCTTCATACCTTCTGCTTCCTTGGATGCTTACCTTTCGTAATCCCAACCTTCTCAACCACACAGATGATCTCTTCTCCCCAACTGCCCATTGCATTAGTTATCACTGCTCTGAGATAAGCAGTTTGGAGGTATCTACTTTCATTAGCCTCATATTCTCAGCCATATTATAAATCCCTTTAGGGAAATAACTTAATCTTTTGTGCTTCTTATCCTTTCTCAGTAGTTACTAATAAAGCTGAAACTAGAAATTTTTTAAAAATACTTTTAACGCTTAAAAAATATATTTTTTACGGTTTCTTTCTTTAATTTTGAAAGAGAGAGAAAGCACAAGTGGGGGAGGGGCAGAGAGAGAGGAAGAGAGAGAGAATCCCAAATAGGCCCCACGCTCTCAGTGTGGAACTGATGTGGGGCTCGAATCTACGAACTGTGAGATCGTGACCTGAGCTGAAGTTGGACACTTAACTGACTCAGCCACCCAGGAGCCCCCAAAATTTTAATATTATTTTAAACTGTTTAATATTTAAAATATTAAAAATATGACCTATGAAAAGATGCTCAACATCACTCATCATCAGGGAAATGCAAATCAAAACTACAGTGAGATATCACCTCATACCCATCAGAATGGCTTGAATAAAAAACACAAGAAATAACAAGCGTTGACAAGGATGTGAAGAAAAAGGACCCTCCACTGCTAGTAGGAATGCAAACTGCTGTGGCCACTGTGGAAAACAATATGGGGGTTCCTCAAAAAATTAAAACTAAAATTACTCTATGATCCAGTAATTCCACTATTGGATATTTACCCAAACCAAACGAGCATTAATTTGAAAAGATGTACGCATCCCTATGTTCATTGTAGCATTATGTACGATTGCCATGGTATGGAAGCAATTCATGAGTCCATCCGTAGATAAATGGATAAAGATATATTTATATGATTCAGCCATAAAAAAGAATGAAATCTTGCCATTTACAACAATGTGGATGGATCTAGACTGTGTAGCACTGACTGAAATAATTCAGGCAGAAAAAGACAAATACCATATAATTTCAATCATTTGTGGAATTTAAGAAACAAAACAAAGGAGCAAAGGAAAATAAAAGAGACCAAAAAAACAAACTCTTAACTAAAGGGAAAAAAATGATGGTTACCAGAAAGGGGTGGTGGGCGGATGAGTGAAATAGATTAAGAGGATTAAGAGTATATTTGTAGTGGTGAGCACTGACTACAGTATAGAATTTTTGAATCATTCCATATACACCTGAAACTAATAAACTCTGTATGACATTTATACTTGAATGTTTTGAAAAAGAAAAAAAATATTAAAAATAATTAGTTATATTTTAAAAATATATTCTGATTATTAGAATCTCAAAATAGATATGAAGTGGAAACAAAACCTGAAGATCAGAAGAAAATGCAGGAAAATGAAACCAAATCAATTATAATAAGAATTCTGAGCAAGACATTTGACTCTCCTAGAAATTCTGTCTTCTCCCTCTTCAGTTTTCATGCCACTGGTCTTACATATTGGGAACAGTACCTCTTTTTAAAATGTATTTTATATTGACTGTGCTAGTACCACAGGCATTAGATAACACTGCAAAGTTCTTTTTTTTTTTTTAAGTTTATTTATTATGAGAGAGAGATAATGTGGGTGCAGGAGGGGCAGAGAGACAGGAAGAGAGAGAGAATCTCAAGCTGACTCCATGTTGCCAGCACAGAGCCCAATGTGGGGCTTGAACTCATGAAACTGAGAGATCATGACCTCAGCCTAAACTAAGAGTCAGATGCTTAACCAACTGAGCCACCCAGGTGCCCCATACACTGCAAAGTTCTTAATTTCAGTGGTTGAGAATATAAATTCACAACTCTATGCAAAAATCATAGAGACATATACAATTTATTAAGCCCATTCTAACTTTATCTGCATAACTTGTATGCATAAATTGAAAAATAAGTATCACCACATTTGGAAGCCTTTTGCACTAGCAGGTTTTAGTAGTTAAAAAATGAGGGTCATAGTTAATAAAAATGGTTAATATTCATTTTTGGCCTTAATATAAAAAAGAGCAGAGAATTAGATTGGATTTGAACTTTAGAGAGCGTCCTTGCCTCTTGGATATTCATTCAGCAAGGCTGTGCATTTTTATCCTTTAGGCATTTAAAAAAGATGCTGACCTGCTCTCCTATTCATCTCCTTATGATTATCACACTTTATTAGGGGGCTGGTTGATTATTTTCAAGACTTTAAAGTTGTATTCCAGGGAAGTGCCTTTATGTGATAAGACCCTTCTATTGTTGTTGATTTTAAATTTTATATTTTACCTTGTGACAATGGGAAAATTATATAATCTTAAGCCCTTCTACCTATTTCTCATTAGACAGATGGTTCAGAAAGGAGGTGCATATTAATGCTTCAAGCAATGTCTACTAAATTTTAAAAAGACTTCTGAGTAGAGGATGAGGTAGTTTGTTTTATTTTGTCTTTCTTTTATTTTGTCTTCTTGCTTTACTTTTTAAAATTAGTTTATTTATTTTGAGAGAGAGAGACAGAGAGAGAGGAGAGAGAGAGATAAGGAGTAAGGGAGGGGTAGAGAGAAGTCCAAGCAGGCTCTATGCTGTAAGTGCAGAGCCCGATGTGAGGCTCAAACCCACGAACTGCAAGATCATGACTTGAGCCGAAACCAAGAGTCAGAAGCTCAACCAACTAAGCCACCCAGGTGGCTGAATCTTCTTGCTTTAAACCATGGTGGCCCAATCAACATCATGTCCCCTGTCACCCTATAGATGTCAATGGTGTTTGAGGACCATGATCAAAATCGTGTTCTATTCTATCCTACTGCCCATCTTTGATCTCAAAAGTGTTCATTGTTTCTTTGATCCTAAATATTTAGCTTAAAATTTTTCTCTGGCCTTTTCCAGCTAAGGTTCTGTTGGGAGGAAAACTTGTCCTCTACTAGTTCACATCCTTTTGGTTGAGGGTCTGCAGGTTAATTGATATGAGAGAGGAGAAGTTTCTCTCAGGGGCACACAGAATACTCAACAAAAAAGTGATTCACTAAGTAGTCGGGGGGTAAGGGTGTATATACCAGTCAGTTTGGCCAAAGGGGATGGATTTAGGACTTCCATAGGAAGTACAGGAAGTGCTATTGGACCTCTCATTCTGATGATAATGGGCATAGCCTTCCTGGCTAGAAGCTCCCTGAGAGGGAGATTGATGGCACCTGGATTTGCACCTCCTGGTGCTGTGTCACCTTCCACCTGGGTGTGGGTTAATGGCAGCTATATTTTCAGGAGACTCTCCCTAAGTCTAGTGTTTCTTGGGCTGCTGTTTGTTCATATGCCTTTAGTTTAAAGTAATCTTCTTGCCACTATGGTGGACTGTTGGTCTATTCACTTTCCTGACTTCTGCTTTTATTTTTTGTACTAAGTACCCCCACATATGTTTGGTTTGCCTCTAGGCCCAGGGCCTCCCATTATTGTGGGAAAATACCCCACTGAATTACACATTAGGAGCAAACAGCCTGGTGTGTAGACAGTGCCTGACTTGACATGGCAATGCATTCAGGGAGGGTGCTGGTGACACACGTGGGGAGGTGTGCTCCTGCAGACACCACAGTCTCATTCAATGCAAATGTTTCTGTAAAAAAAAAAAAAAGAAAGAAAAAAAAGAAAAGTGTATTCTAGGGGAGAAAAATGCTCCCTTCACTCCCCCACATTCAACAACTGGTCTATAAAATAAACTGACAACACACAGATCAATAAGAAATAATAATTTTTATTCATTATGCATGAGACCATCGCAGGAAAAAAAAAGTGAAAACCAAAAAAAAAAAAAATCAGTGAGATTTGAGAGCATATATATGATCTTAAGAGGGAAGATGAAGAAAATGTAGGCCACATAAGGGAGAAGAAATTATTTTTTGGAAGGGTGAAAAGCACTTAGAAGAATAGGTAGGAGACCTGAGGGTTTGTGACAAAATCATCTGGGTGTGGTGTTGACTTGTAGGCTCCTCTCCTGGCACATGAGTCAATCTTCCCTGGTTGATAAAATTCCTGGGGAGGGACTGATGATAGTTGAGTTCCTTTGGAGAACCTGCCTTAAGACAGATGGGGGAGTTCGGAGGAAGCTAGTCCCTGCACCTGCTGCCTTCAGCTCAAGGTATTCTTTATGCCAAAGAGGCAAATTTTAGTGTGGAGCTGTCTGCCAGCCTTCTGTATGAATAAGAAAGTACATGGAATGACATGTTACAAAGATTTTCCTGACATCTGTGTTGGCTAATTATTAATGTCTTATTTATTTATTCATGGGCGGGGCTGGGAGGAGCTTTTAAAAGCCAGGCTAATTTTTATTTTGTAGGATGGTTAAAACATGGTCCTATTTCAAACAGGATCCACTGTTAACTTTCTAATTAACTTTTATGTCCTGAGATCTAATTTCATGAGCAGATAGCACTCTGTAGACATCTCAGAGAGAGCACCCCACTCGGGGAATGATTTATGCTAAGATCGGGATTGAACTGTCTGCCACACTCTTTTCCTTCCCACCACTTGTAAAAGAACATTCCAACTGTGCTTCAAGTATTTTAAGTAGTTTTGAATGAGAGCAATATCATCGTTTTCTTCGATACATATGTTTAAACCTGCACTGTAATCTACATCAACCCTTTATAAAGACAGGACACTTTAGCTGGAGTTTATTGGGGTAACAACTTCCTAAATACATTTCACTACCCCAGGCTAGTAGACTGACAAAATGAAGAAGCAGACTGTGTGTGATATTTTAAAGGGGGTGGGGGGGAAGGAGAGGAGACGGCAAATGCATTGCAGGAAGAAACATACTCTTAAAGATTATTACCATGGTGTCTACCAGAGTGAGAAGTAGGTGGCATAATATTCTTAGATATAAATTCTCTGAGGCAGAACATAGAATTTTACTACCTAAATGTAATAAGATGTATTGTGCTTTCAGCAAGGCCACAGAGCTCTATGTGATTAAAATAAAAAAGGATCCAAGTATCTGCCTTTAACTACCTTTTAATGATAATGATTTTTGTCTTTAGCATTTATACTGGACATCAAGAAGAGGCAAGCTACAGGCTATCTAATAATAATATGAATAATAATAACTAGCAATTGCCCTTCTCTTCCTCCTTAGCTCTTACAGTCCCTGTTTGTTCTCAAGAAAGTCCTCTTCCCTCATCTCAGTTTATGTGGTAATCAAAATATTAGTTTAAAAATTGCATTGTAAGGTACATGCCCAAGAAGGGAGTTGTAGCATTAGATTTATATTAGGGAATAGTCAGAAAAGAGGGGTTATGCGCGAATCTCTTTTACATGTTGCCTTATTTCATAGCGATCCTTTAAGGTACATATTGCCACACATTTCCTTTTACTTTTACAGGCCTTATCAGCTTTTAATACATGTAGCATCATAACCAGTGGTGACCTGGAGTTCACTCTGACCAGGCAGTGAAAACCAGTCATTAAATTTTGAGGATTTTTGTGGATGCCAAGAAATGGACCATAGGGAATATTCACACCATCATAATCAACAAAAGCTAATAACAAGGGTCCTTTCCTCCTGTTACCTCACTGCTCTCTCAGAGAGAAAAAAAAATATTTCTCCATATCTTTCTGAGTTCTTAGCTGAGACCCCCCTATAATAAAAGATTAGCAAGAGAAGAAAAAACCACATTTATTAGCCTGTATACCTCATGTACACTTGGGAGACACTTGGGGTTTTTGAAAAGGAACTCTGCATAATGATTTAGAATTCAGGCTTCAGTCCTGTCGTAATAGGGAAAGAACAGGAGGATATAAGCCACAGAGGAGAGAATAAGTGATTTTCAAGAAAGATGGAAGAGCCTTAGAAGAATAGATAAAAGGATAGATTGTGGCAAAGCCCAACCGGATGTGGTGTTGACTTCTAGTCCCCTCTCCTGTGACAAGAGTCAATCCCCAGGGAGGTGATTGATGACAGCTGAATTCCTTTTGGGGATCTGTCTTCAGGCAGATAAGGGAATTCAGGGATAACCCTTCCCTGAATTTGCAGTTTTTTAATGCCTGCAGCTCAACGTAATCAACATACCACAGCGACATATTTTGGGGTGACATATTCTGCCTCCCTTCACCTCTGAGGGCAGGTTTACCACTTCACTACTGCCAGCTTACTGAATTTCAAGTACAGATCCAAGCACAAATTGCCCTATACAAAAACATACACACTCAGTCCTTTCCTGCAACTTTATGTAGTTTCTGGATTCCTAAAGGATTAAGAACAGTCTAATTCAGAGCTCCTTAAGGCATGAGTTTGTAACAAGCGCATGAAGTCACTCTCACCGTGATTCTTGTTTTCAATTCCTTTCTCCATATTTCAGATGTACTTGCCTTCCTCATTTAATGGAAATTTTTGAAAGTTGAAGTTCACTTATGTATTTTGTATTTTGTCACTATATCTACTGGGATATTTACTTACTAGAATAACAAAATTGAACTAGAATATGGTAGATGTAATTGCTAGAAAATAGGTCATGATACAGTGTTTGCTTTGATTATTGCCAAGTTTATTTAACTACTTAAGATTTCATCATGAGTATAATATTATATATACTTTTATTTACAGATTGTAGCTGTATTTAAAAACTGAATTTGTAATCATTTTAATCTCCAACCTCTAAAAATAGTAGCTATGTTTTAGTGTAGATACTTCTATATGCTATAGGTATACAAGTAGAATGTTCAAATAATCTTGAAATTTTCAAAATAAAGAATAAAAAATATCTTAGATGTTAAGATAGAGAAAAATAAAGAAATAATATCTGGGCAATCTTTAGTACCCTCCAACAAAAAGAGAATTAAAGTCATTAAGAAATGACAAGTTAAAAAAATCAACTTCTTAAGTATTTTGATTTTAAAGAAGCTTGATTTTATATAATTACTAAAACATTACAAGACTCAGAAATGTCCAGTTACTAATGCTGATATAAGAAAAATCACACACACACACACATGCACGCACAATACATACATACACACACACAAACTAATAATGGTTATGACCATTTTCAATTTCAGGGGAGCCTATGGTCATGACATAGGGAAACGTCCTTGGATTACAGGAGATGAGACTATTGTCGGCCTTATGAATGACCTTGTAGGTAAGTGCAAAATGGATTTTTTCCCAAAAGAATCATAAAGGCGTTATCATTTAGATATAAACCTAGATTATAAAGTCAAAATATATTGAAGAGCATCCTGATTTTCTATTTTAACCCATAACATAAAGAGCAAGCATACTTTTGAGATTTGATGGCTAAAGGGAATGTAACTGAGTTATTTAGTACAAAAATAAAATATTTTATTAATTTTTCTTGGGTATTTTAACACTAATATTACTCTCCAATAAAAAACACATGTATTGTATTTATTTATAATTAAACAAATTTCATAAAAATCATCTTAAATTAATTTTCTAATATTTCATTATGAATGATAAAATAAACAGTAACCTTTACATGCTAAAAGCCTAAAACACCAATCAGCATTTGGTTTGTTTCATTTTGATCCATGGTGATTAATTTCAAATTAAGCTGAGAATTATTAGAAATAATATGGTTGATGCTGTTCTTTGATTTATAATGTGTTTCCTAAAGTGAGTTACATATACTCTAGGTATTATTCAAGATAGCTTTAGATGGTGAATGTGTTAACATTTTGAAAAAAGTTATTTAATTGAAAGGCACTTGGGGTCTCAGTCAGTTGTGCATCTGACTTTGGCTTAGGTCATCTTCGAGTTCGAGCCCCTCATCAGACTCTGTTGACAGCTGAGAGCCTGGAGCCTGCTTCAGGTTCTGTGTGTGTGTGTGTGTGTGTGTGTGTGTGTGTGTGTGTGTCTATCTCTCTGCCCTTCTCTTGTTCATGCTCTGTCTCTTTCTCAAAAATACAGTTTTTTAAAAAATTAAAAATATTATTGGGTTGAATATTCAGTGTTGCTTAAAATCTTATGTGATATTTAGGGTATTGAAAAAAAATTAATGATATTTAAGCAATTGGAGTGCCATTATTTGGAGGAAACCCCAAACTTTCATAATGCTTTTTCAAACCTCACTTCCTACAGACTAGTAAAAACATATCTTTATTACCTCATCCCAATTGTATCTTGTCAATGATCAGAAGACCAAAGCAGTGTGAGGTGGGACAAAATGCAGTTAGAGTAAAGAAAGTAGAACTTACATCCTGAAAGAATTATGGCAATTGTTAAACCATGAAAACCTGAGGGATAGTTTGTTTGAAAAGTAATTACTGAACCTCTGCTGTTTGTCTGTCTGGATTTGTGGTAGGCATTGAGGACAAAATGGTGAGTAGGTAAAATAGTGAGTAAGAATCATTAACACCCTTATCCCAGGAGATATCCTCATGGGACTCCCATAAAGGAAGATAATAACAACAAAAAAAGTAAAGTTAATACATACACATAATCTATACATAATATAAAGAAATACAAACAAAACAAAACAAACATTGGGATTCGTGCTTCAAAAGAGAGGTAATTTCCAGTTAAGGATGGAGGACTGAACATGTTAAGTACTCTTTTTTTTAGTTGTTTCTCACTAAACAACTCATAATGAAATTAAAAAAATAAAAAGTATAAAACCCGAAGAACAAATACAATAGCAAAGGAGATGATAGCAACATTTCGAGAGTTGGATAGCAGGTGGGCAAGTGGTAATTGTTTTTGTAAAAAAAATAAAATAAAATAAAATGAACCAAATCTTAATCTCTCAATGGCAAAAAATGGAAAGCCACCTGCTTTACACTGCAGAGCCTTAAAAGTTTGGGAATTACAATACGCATCTCTAAAAGTGGGAGTAAAGTAAGGTGAAAATGGAGAGATGAATTGAAGGTCTGTTTAAAATTTAGTTAAAATGCCAGCTCCCTTTGCCCACTCCATGCTGTCAGGTGAATCCTCTTTCCCAGATGACTGGGTAAGTCTCTGGTGAAGGGAGAAGGTTCCAAAGGGGAGATATGTATCCTATGTTACTCTGCTCAGGCTGCCATAACAAATATATTAGACTGGGTGGTTTAAACAACAGACATTTTCTCACAGTCCTAGATAGAGGCCAGAAGCCCAAGATCCAAGGATTGGTTTCTGGTTGGACTCTCTTCCTGGCTTGTGCGTGGCTGCCTTCTGTGTCCTCACTTGGCCTTTCCTCTGTGCACACTCAAAGAGAAAGATCTCTGGTGTCTCTCTTCCTATAAGGACATCAGTGCTGTTGGATTAAGACCTCACCCTTATGACTTCATTTGAACCTTATTACCTCCTATAGGCCCGATCTCCAAATACAGCCACACTGGTTGAGACTTGAACATATGCATTTCAGCAGGACACAATTTAGTCTATAACAAATTCCTTGGTGAAAACAAGAGTTAAATAAATGTTTATCTGCCTCTGTTCTAACTTAGCATCCAGTAACTGTGCAGGAAACTACTAAAGTCTTCTCTTAAGGTTCTGACATGAGTTTTCCCAGTCTGATGGCTCAATAGGGTTACCTTGCAACAAACCCCATCACATGCACAGTGAAAACGACACTTGTATGAAGTAGCCCAAATTACCAGACTTTTAAGGAAAATCTATTTTTAGTTTTGTGTTAAATAGTGTTACATATTCATAAAGTTGAAAAAAAAATAGAAGGGTTGCAAGCAAAAGCAACTGCTATTTCCTACTAGCCGTTGTTGAGTAATCATTATACTAGATAGATTTATGTTTCATGCGGTTATATTATAGGATCAGAATATTGACTTCTGATTTAAAATAACAGATTTAAGTACAAACTGAAAGTGATCCCTTCTATTCCAAACACATAGAAATGATAGGAAAAACATTAGATTAACCAACATATAGCAAGACTAAAAAAAAAAAAATGAATATAAATCCCTATAGACCAGAAATACCTCTACTGCTAAAGAAAGGAGCATTTGGAAGTCTGGAAGCACAGTTTGGAGGCCAGGCTGAGTATGAAGAGCTTGCATCCTTACCGTTGCAAGGAGCCCCAGGGTGAATCTGCACAGCTCTCCGTGCCTGAGGCTGGGACCCGCAGGCAGAACACTGGTCAGCCAGGGCAGGTGTAAAAACCTAACATCTCCTCCCAGACCAGTTCTTGGGACCACAGGGCACTTGATCAGATGTCAGCATTATCCAGAGGAGAGTATATTCTGATGGAGGAAAGTCCTCGATTGTATTTAAGGATGTGTTAAATTGTTGTTTGATAATGCTTCCATTTGGGTTCATTTTTTTTAGAAGCTAATTATGGTCATTCAAATGTCTATCATATAAATAAAACAACCCTGAAAAAAATCCTGGATTCACTTAACCTGAGCATATATGTTTTCCATAACTATGGATTGTTTTTTTCTTTATTAGGTTTGCTTTCAGAACATAAACTGCAATCTAATCCTGTTGTTTTGTGCTTAATAATATCATCCTCTAAAGACAAGTTAGGATGTTTATGTATAGGCCAGGCAAGTGGGAAGGTAATATTATTTTGTGAGATTTATTTATGAAGCCACTAAGCCCTGCAAAAAGATTTCCTTTGACCATTTAAAAGTTTATAGCTCTGTTGAAACTTATTAAATATGCAAGTATTTTGTTGCTCAGCAAATGCATCACGGCAGTCACTGAAATTTCAAATGAGCCACCTCTCATTTTAAGTACTAAGGAAAATGAAAAAAAAAAGCCCACTAAATAGTCAGATTTATTTAGAAAAGTAAAAAGATTGAATGTATTAAAAAACTAAATATATACATATATATTTATCAACTCAACTTTTAGGGATTTTTCTCTGTCTTTGAAATACCATACCAAAGTTATCACACGTATGAGAAAAAGTTCATTGTTTTTGTGGTTTTGTCCTTAATGTTGTATTAATTAAATTTGATCCTAATGATATGGGATATAAAAGAACAATTCTTGAAATGAGCACAGTCACTTTTGTAGACATGAAGCTCAGGAAATATTATGTATTTTGTTTATAGATATATGATCATTAGTATATATCACAAGTAACTATGATATACAATAAGTATATACAATAAATGATTTATTTAAGGTAGGTAGATAGTCTTATCAAAGTCTCAAGCCTTATATGACAAATACATTGAAAATTTCTATTGAAATATCAGTGAATGAAGGTGATCTTTAGTTTAATTGTGATTTTATAAAATGTCTGTTTTGTTCTCTACAATTTGTGTTTTATCAGGAGAAATATTTCTACTATTATTTATTGACCAAAGGAGTATGAAATGACCACATCTACAAATGTGTATTATAAATGATATTTTTAAAACTTGGTGCTTTTAAAAAAATGTTTCAGTAACTATCATCCTCCAAATTTCTTTATTGTGTAGATTAGAGAAATGGTTCTTAAGACAAGTTGAAAAATGAATAAGTTCACACTGTTTTATTAGGAAAAGATCATTTTAGAAAGTGTTTTTACATATATTTGTGTTTATCTTGTTTGCTGCGGATCCCACCCAGGTTCCCTTTTTACCTGGGTTACTAGGAAATGATGAGAAAATTTGATTGAATTGAAAGTAACAAAAACATTTAACAGTTTCTATTTGTTTCTTATCTGCATATATTGTATTCTAATGCTATTTTTTTTATAATTCTCCCTCACTTTGTAACCCAAGAAACCTCAAATCCTGGTTGGAAGTAGATGTTGTATAAATCATGAAATAATTAAAATAATTATTTGGGAAGTACAGTAAAGAGCAGCAGAAGTCAAATTTATTTTTGCCAGTTGCCAAGCCTACCTAAGTGTGTCATGAGCAAACAGACAAGTTGTATAGTTAGGACAATGATGGCATCTTGCAGGTTCTTAAAACCACAGTCTTTATTTCACCATAAAATCTCTCAAAAAGAAGTAGCAGGAGGATTATAAAAATTATTACGTGTACAAATTGATAGGAGGAGTAGACAATGAGCAACTATATTATTTTCATAGATGTAGAAGAGAATTTCAACTTCAGATGAGAAGAAAAACTGTTAATAAAACATTTTATATAGAGCCAACAATTTTGCAAAACATGGAACAACTTCTGCTTATAATTAATGTCATATTATCAAGATGCTAGAAATAGAATTGCTGAAGAATATTATTAGTATTATTATTAAGCCTACTTCTCCCTGGGTACATAAAAATCACATAGGGCTAGATACATGTGTTTCAGCTTATAAAAATGTTGTAATGTGGACATAAATTTACTTTATGAAACTCATGGTTGACCCCCTGAGAAGCAATAATCTCTGGAAGCTGTTTCCAGTCACGAATCCTTAACCATGAACTAACTACCTACTGAGGCCACAGGAATTTGCTACTTGAAAGACAGAATGGAAAGTTCTGAGACTTAGCCTAACTACAAAGCTTATAAGCAAATCCACAATAACATTTGCATCTGCTTAATAAATTATACAGAACATGGATACAGGTAGATCCATCATGAATTCTCTTTTTAAACACTAAACAGCTGGGGGCCCTGTCATCTTCTCTTGACAAAATATTTGAAATTTAACTAAAATTAGAAAAATGCAGAGGAATGTTGGCAATGAACATGGTCCTCCTATATTTGATTTACAGGGAGTTGATAATGTATGTAGACAATGCTTCCCAATGTAACTTTGAACCATTTTTTTTCTTCTAAGAGAGAGTAAGATTTTCTTTTACTTCTTATCAATGAAACTTTAGGTATGTTTGTTCATCTCTTTGGATGTCGGTTTCATCATTGTTAAATAGGGACAATTAAAGTAGATATATTATTGTTTTACAGTGAAGAGTATGAAAAAATACAAGTCACATATTTGGAAATGTTGGCACATCTCCAGGATTCCGTAAACATTAGCATGCCAGGCATGGAGATAAGAAGGCATGCTTGCATTTAACTAAGGTTCACCTTCTGGTAAAGCAAAAAATTATGTTCAATAAATAAACAAGCAGGAAAGCACACTACAAATGACAACCCTGGCTCATACCCATCTCAGATGAAGTGATTCAAATCTTGACATTTACTGCAGTGAATTGTAGATGATCTTCTAAAGTAAAGATTTTCAAATCTTGATAAGCTTTTAGGAAGTTTAAAAAATATTTTTGCCCTGCAATGCTTGTAGTTCTTGATGTTTCCACATTAATTCAGAAAAAGCTCTTAGGAAAAGGAAAAGAACAAAGAAAGGCATCTTGAAAGAATTTCACTTTGCTTAATTTTTTAAAAATATTCTTATGACATGATGATGATACTGAAATGTGTTAGAAGAACAAGTGTTGGTTTCAGAAATGTGATTTGAATCAAAAGATAGGTCAAATAGGTAAATTTTCCTTTAAAAATATGCTGAAAAACAGTCTGATTTGTGGTCCTTTGATGTTAGGAATCCTTGATTCTTCAGTGCTTTTAGGTTATATTTGAAGTAAACATTTCCATTAATGTTCTGAAACTTTAATATTTGCACTATCCTCAGATATACCTGTGTACGTATGCATGCACATTAAATAGACTAATTGTCTCCTTCACAAAGTTCAGTAGCAGGTGCAGAGACCGTTTTGTGGAGTGCTTGGTTGAATTTGGAGTGTTCTAAGATGAGATCATTTTTGTGCATGTTGACAGATAAATTATTCAAGTCAGTGAGGGATTATTTACAAAGAATTGATCCAAGTGCTAGTAAGCCATTGAAAGTAAGGGGTGTGGGGGGAGCCAGGTCAAGTGTATGTCTAGGTTAATTGTTCCTACCACAAATGGTTCATTATATTCATGGCAAAAAAAAAAAAATTCTAGGTGATACACAATGAACACTGTTATTGTTTAGAGGACTAAACTTTTCAAGAAATCTATAGTCATTTTAATCAGAGTGTAATTGTTAAGCAAAAATAGGATGTCTAAACTTCATCAGAAAGTCTCACTCCCTTCCTGCCTCTTCTATTTCTTTGTTTTCATTTTGTGGTAACTAACTTATTGAATTCTTTTTTCTTCTCACTAAATTCTTTCAGATACTTCTGTTTCTATGAATTCTGCTCTCTCATATTACTTTTCCTTCCTTTTCTCCTTTCACTTTTCCTGCCAAAATATTTTTTGAAATTATGGTTTTCAGAAAAGATGCATGTAACTATCTTCAGAAAATTAAGGATAATAGTACATTAGATATCTTAGATAATGTTTTGTTTTAGAAATAACAGTAAAAATTCATACCATACTGCAAAGAAACAAATATAGTAAAGCTGGCAGCATTTTTCTTACATATTTCCAAAGAATTCTCAGATTGTAGGAGAAGACATATGCCACTATATGCAACATAAGGTTATCATATTCCTATCTATCTTGTATGTCTAGGACAAATTTTATTTAGTGCTAAGCATGTAGAATGATATTGGTCTCACTGCCTCTTGACTTCAGACACTGTTTACCTTAACTAATGACAAGGGATATTTCTTCTAACCAATTGCTTACCAACCTTGCATATCAAATGATCAAATGGAGAAATCGGTCTGCTAAATGCAACATCAAGTTTTTCTTGACTAGATGACTGTGTTGAAATACAAATTTCCAAGTTACAAACTTATTCCTAATGGCCACCCAACAAGTGAATGTATCCTAAAATCTATGCATAAATTAGATTATTTTACTTATGGTTTCTTCTTTTAAAATGGAACTCTAACAGAAATATCTCTTTGGATATGGAATATAGGACTTGTATTATACATGTTCTCTAATACCTCGTGCAGCTTTACAAACATTAAGGCATCCATTTTTCTCAGTAGTAATTAAATAGATTTTCCTATTACACAGGTCTAATTGCTTTTAGGAGACATCATAAGAACTAAAATTAGGGAAAGTATTGTTGTTATTATACTCTGAGTTCTTAAGCATCCGATGTATGCTTCGTCTCTAGGTCTATTTCTAGCAGTCAAAGCTTCATTACTAAGAATGAGATCAGATTATGGTTGTGTAGTGGATATATTAATTTTGCTTGTATTCTCCATCAGATAATACCTATCTGTATTAATTATCTTGTATCTTGGTGTGTATGAGTAAATCCCAGAACTATTTAGGTCTTCATATTTTGCTTCCTAGCTCTTTTGTCTTATAAACTATTATATATCTCACTGCAATAACAGTGAATTATGTTTGGCAAACTAGCTGTCTTTTATTAAAGGTGTGCTTTAATTGGACATTAGAAACAACCAGCCTTCAACCTGTGATTGGCCTTGATTTCTTTTGAGATACACTTAGCGCAAAAATGTACTCTGTGGGAATTTGGCAAACTACCTGATAATAGGATAAATCATTTTTAGTTTACAGGAAAGAGCAAATGCTTCATTATTTTGTTGCAATTATTTACTATATCAAAAAGCAAATATAATTTTAGCTGTCTATGTGCATGTGAGCCCAGATATCATTTTATAAAATGACTCAAGTGGGAAAACTTTCATTTCGTTGTGATGACACATCAAATATGCCGTTATCTCTAAAAGCATTAAGGATGAAGGAGTGAAGCCTGCCTACTTCATTTTTCCAAGTAACTTTAGCATGAATAGAAAAATCTAAATTATCATGTGTTTACTTTGCAGGAGCCAATGAGAAAGAAATAGCCCTAATGAATGCTTTGACTGTTAATTTACATCTTCTACTGGTAAGTAGTTTCCTTTCCCACCAATGTTTAGTATACACTCATTTGTAGACTCTGACATTTTTCTATCTTTAATTCATGAGCATCTGGTGGTTTACTTATTTAAAAATAAGTTGTAAGGTTATTTTCATTTTTACCAGGAAATGCTGGACCATGATAGAAAGGCTTCTTCATCAACATGGGAGAGTTGACTCTTGCAAAGAGCTTTAGAATAATGAACAGTTCTTAGAACATAAGGAATAAAAGTCATAGTGAGCTAAATCAAAACTGCTTGCAAGCACACAAAACAATGATGTACAAATGCCAACAAATACTGAGCTTTTCAGAAAGACAGTTTTCCAGTATGCTGGACTTTAGCAGAGTGAGATTATAGATCAGTTATATTTTTATAGGTTAATTTTGGAGGAGTAGATTAAAAAAGAATAAAAAAACTAAATTGGAGAAAAGGGATCTAATACCTTAAATGAGTTAATGTATTTAAAGTGCTTTGTACTTCCTAAATACTTAATAAATATGTATATCTTGAAATGTCAAATATATTCTTGATTTGGAATTTGGTGCTTATAGTAATGCTTGATGCTTTGAAATATAGTTTTATTTTTAAGCAAGATTTTGAAAACATGTCTCCATGACCAAGGTGCACAATGACTATGTTAATATTTTGTTTTTATTAAGTGAAGAAATGATTATTAAATATGCCTAGAGGAACCTGTTCATGGATTATGTTAAACACGATGGTAAATAGCATAGTTTTAAGTCAGACAACCTGGAGTTTGAGTCCTAGCTAGGTAACTTGATGTCTGTCTGAGTTTGGACAAGATTGTAGTGATTTATATATAGAGCATGATATTTAAGACTTATAGTAGAAGAATTGCCATTAAAAGCACTGGGAAGATTGTTTATCAATTAAAATTTAAATGCAGTTTGATAATTTGATTTTATCTGATCCATATTGTCTCCCAAATTTGCTTTTCCGTTGATAAGAGCCAATACCTTTATCTTCTTTGTAATTCATTGGATATAAGGCTAATTGGTAAAGATGCCCTTAATAGGCATGTAGGTACGTAATTAAGTAATGCTGGAGATTATAAAATGCAAGTGTGGTATAAAATGAACACATGTATAAATTGTGCATTAATGCTTTTCTCAATAAATACATTTTATTGCAGCTATCATTTTTTAAGCCTACAGCAAAACGGTATAAGATTCTTCTGGAAGCCAAAGCCTTCCCTTCAGATCATGTAAGGATTCTTTGAATTATATTTATATTCTTTCTACTCTTCCTAGGGGAGCACGCCAATTGCCTGCTTTGAATGTTTATTCACTAGTCTTTTCCGAGTAACCTTACAATAAAAAGATCTGTCAAATGCTTTTGATTAGGCATTTTTAAAATATAGAAAGTAGGTTATTTTTTTTCATTCTGTTCAAGTAAAACATGTGTTAGGGGAAGAAAGGATTGAATAAGAACATTGATTTATTAGTCTTTTTAAAAACATTGAGTGAACTACTAGTTTGTCAAGTGCAGTTATAAATGTTTTATTAACTCGTTGCTGTTTTATTTTATGAAATCAAATCAATACATACCCCAGTGCTAACCCTTCAGCAATATAGAATAAGGATATAAACTTTTATTTGTCCATAGCATGATAGCATAATTATTTGTGCTCTATTATTGAAAAAATATTTACTAAAAATTAAAAATGTTTGTTCATTAAATCTTGCTACTTTAAGAAGTTTGGTTGTTCTAGACTGGGACACAGATAAAGGTATGTTGCATATTTAGATTTAGTGTTAGAGAAATTTGATTTCTGTCTTTCTGTTATCACTGTTAACTATTCTAACCCACATCTTATAATTTTAAGTCATTTAATCATGTCCAAATTAATAGCTGTTACTTCACTAAAAAGGATCAAAACTGTAATATTGTGAAAAATTCAGAGTCCCTGTAATTTCTTGTTTTCATTCATATCTTGTGCGCTCATTGAAGGGAAATTTCTAATCTTCTTTCTATTAGCTGCTTTTTTTTAGGGTAAAGCATTTCTTTTTAGAGTAAGCCCTTTCTGTACCCTAGTTCAAACATAGCAAGTCCACATTACTTACTCTGGTTATTTGTAAACTTAACCAAAACTTAAATTTTAACTCAAGTTTGGTGATTTAACATCTTCCAAAAATCACTTGGATCTCCCTAAAGTCTAGATGAAAAAATAGTGTTTCAAGGAATGTTTAGATTGCTGTGTATAAATAGTATTAAGCAGTTCTTTTCTGATGTATTCTGTTTAGTCGCTTTTAACCTTGACCTTAGAGTTAATATAATAATACGCTTTTATCGTCATTTTGTTAACTCTTTTTGGAGTTATTTCAATGTATTTCTGTGCATTGGACTTGATTTAATAAATCATTCTTCTTTTCCAGTATGCTATTGAGTCGCAGCTTCAACTACATGGACTTAACATCGAGAAGAGTATGCGGATTATAAAGCCAAGAGAGGTACAAGAGAAAGATAAATAAATATTCATATGCTTCTATCTGGTATTGATTTTTTTTCAGTTTCGTCAAAAATTTATTATCTTCATTACTTAAAAAAATTTTTTTAATGTTTTATTTATTTCTGAGAGAGAGAAAGAGAGAGGAGCATGAGCAGGGGAGGGTCAGAGAGAGAGAGAGAGATACAGAATCCGAAGCAGCCGTCAGACTCTGAGCTAGCTGTCAGCACAGAGCCTGAAGCAGGGCTCGAACCCACTAACTGTGAGATCATGACCTGAGCTGAAGTCGGACGCTTAACCGACAGAGCCACCCAGGCATCCCATTGTCTTCATTACTTTAATAGAACTTTCAAGATAATATAAAAGACTTATACATCTGTTACTGTTAGGTAATTTTGCTTAAAATGGGGAACTAACTCAGAAGTGTATTTATTTTCATGTTTGAAGGGATAGTCATGTTACAAGCAAACTATTTTCCTATGAATACCACTAGAGTCTCCCATATTCTTCAGTGAGATGGATGGGATGGCAAATTACTTATATCATTTTCAGTTTCAAATGCCATTGCCTGTGGATGCCTTTAAAATGATATTTGTTGAAATTGAATAATTCCTATATATCTTTTATATCTCTTTTTAATCGAAGTATCAGATGTTGTTTTTTGTGCTTGACACAAAGAGAGTGTAGAAAGGGATGCTGTATAGTGGAAAGAACTTGGGCTTTACAGCCTAGCTAATACACTCCACAGAAATCCCAGACCCATCAACTTTTTGGGTAAGGAACTTTGAGATAGTTACTTTATCTCCCTGAGGTACCCTCATATTTAAACAAATAACAAAAGAAATACCTAATCAGGTTTGACATATGTTCACGATCTAAAATACTATGCACTTTACATTATTAGAGATGTAAGGCTAAGTTGTACAGACTTTGACATATGAACTCCTCAGCTTGTATAATTTGGCACCAAGAGATCCACACAGAATAAATTGTAGGTCATCATTAGTGAAATGATGCTCCCAGGCTATTCAGCCAATGTTTGAACAATTATTTCTTTCAACCCAGAATACTTTGAGAAATTAAAATCAACTCCATTTAGTTCTATTTGGCAACATGCAGTAAATGAATGGAGTAGGAAGGTCTCACACCTGTGACAGCATATCTATTTCGTATGTCCTATAAAGATTGCTAATTTCTGCTAAACATGAATATAACCAATAATTTATCAGAAGTTTTAATGTTAAAAGAGACAAGTGTTGTGGAACCTCATGAGTTAATCATAATCTTGGGAGCATTCTTTAGCATTACTAGATTAGATCAAGTCAACATCAGAGAGAACCACATTCTGTCATTAAGAAATATATTCCTTATTTGCCTTATATGGATTCTTTAAATATATAAATTATTAATATATAATACTTTTATTAATCTTTTTGAAATTACGGTGGACAAACTGTATTAGATTCTTCTAAGCAAAAGGCTTTGGATTACCATGCTGTTAATTTTACTTAGAATTTTTCTTACAGTTACTAAAATCCTTCTCTTTACATATAAAGTACCCATCAGTTAATCATTTAAGATTTCAACATCAATACTATTTTTATAGATTTTAGTTTTGTAAACAAGTTCCAAGATTCTAGTAGAAACTTAAGTATGTGCTATATTTGTGACATATATGTGCCTAATATGGGACATAGTAATTTACAAATAGAAAGAATTAACGAAAATTAAAATAACTGAAGGAAAATTTGTGAAAACCTTAATGAGCTTCCCCCAGATATTAATGCAGTTGATTATGCTTTGACATCAAAACTAAGTCCTATTTAGCACTGTAGGAAGCTCATAAAACTTTGTAATGATTAAGAATGATTAGAACGAGTGTCACCTGGGTGGCCTTTAAGGAGAGTTTCTCCTTAAGGTAACAGAAAACACTGATTAGGTTATGCTCAGATGAAAGATGTATAAGTATTGTTTAACTGGGAAAAAATACTGTGATAGATTGATAAATGAACTAATAATTTTCAGGAAATTTTCACCATTTAATATTTAATGGACTTATTGTACTTTCTGACATTTTACTGGATGGGAAGAGGGAGAAAACAATTCATAGGTATGCAGGTACTTAAGACTAATTGAAAAACAAGAAAAAATCAAGCGAATAGGGTTTTGCAAAGACTTTATAAACCTTATTTTTACTATTTTATTATCATTTCTTATAATAACAAAAAGCATACTAAAATCCTGTTCTCTTGCCAGATTTTTGAAACTATTAATCTGAAAAAAAAATTGTTCTTAGGTGGGAAAAGCTCAAGGTGAATTTTATTTTTTACTTTTTTAAATGTTTATTTTGAGAGAGAGAGTGCATGCGCACACTCACATGCATAACAGAGGGACTGAGAGGCAGAGAGAGATTTCGAAGAAAGCTTCACACTCCGAGCAGAGCCTATCTTGGGGCTTGATCCCAGGAACATGAGATCATGACCTGAGCCAAAATCGAGCCTGGCGCTTAAGATTGAACCAGCAGGTGTTCCATCAAAGTGAATTTTAGATTGGAAAAATTTGAAGTTATGAATTTGTTATTATGGATTTGGTGTCATTTGTGCCTAACTTGGCTTTAGGGGGAAGATACATTGAGAACAGAGGATATCCTTGAAGTAATTGAGAAGGAAGGAGACTCGATTGCGGTGATCCTGTTCAGCGGGATACATTTTTACACTGGCCAGCTCTTTAATATACCTGCCATCACCAAAGCCGGACAAGCAAAGGTATGCACATCGTTTTCTCCTTCCCACATTGCCCAAAAAAACCACTTTACTGGAATATGCTAACTGCACATTGTAGTGAAATAATTTTGCTTGCATCTGTGTAAAATTATTTTTCTTCCCTTGCATATAACATTGATGACATTTATTTAGTTTAGATAAAGACTTCCAACACAGAACACTGTTAGGGATTAACATTAGGAACAAAGTAAAGAGATGTGATGTAAAGATGAGATAAACAGTTTATATTTTTCTACAGAATTTACTGCAGGTTACCATGCTGTGAAAACAAAAGCCGATCACTCTTAATATGTCAGATTTGTTTGGTAACTTAAAGAAAAATATATGACTCCCATCACACAGATAATTCTACATCTACTTTGCAAATCAAATCATCAAGAAGTATCTATCTGGAAAGACTATGGGCCAACTGTCACATTATAACAAAAATAAGGTTGCTCTCTTCACAGAATATGTGGGTAATTAGTAATCAACCCTTAACATAGTGAATGTTCTAATATTTGGAGAAACGTTAGAAAACTAATTTTTTAGAAAACTAATTTCTCTGGACAGTGTTTACCATGCTGATGAGATTAGTTTGGAAAAGGGGTCTTGTTTAGTCTAGAAAATCTTCAGAGTCCAATATAGCTCCGGGCTAAACAGATACTGAAGAACCTTTACAAGGACAGGTAGGCTTGGAAATCACACAGTCTTATTTTGAATTAGCTTGCTTTAGTCCAAGGTATGGAATTAATGATCAGGTACCAGGAATTTCTGTAATGCACCCAATGCCAAATGGCTACTAACATTCTACTTCCCACCATGATGACTCCTTGATTAGAGGTCTGTGGGAGGCCTAAAGCATATTGTGAGCTATAAAATAAATTGTACTCCAATGCCCAGATTTCTAAAGATAAATCTTGTTTTTCAATATAAGAAACTCACTAAATCAAATGAATGCTAATTAGAGCAAAAGTAGTATAAGTAAAACTGGAGCAGGAAACTTCTAGCTACACAAGAAATACATGAAAGACTTAATCATTCTAAGAGAAGAATCATTTTCCCAGTAGCCCCACTGCCATGGATGATATTTTCATGAGCCTGGGCCACCTTCTTCAATGACTACTGAGAACCTATTACAGGTTTCAGCCAATCAGTTTTCATTCCAGCTTGAAGGGCTGCTGCATATTGCCTAAATTCCCCCGTAGTTGATGAGTAGAGAGAAACTCCAATTATACTAGATTCCATTGTCATGGTGTCCCGTGGGCTTATCTCAATCTGACCTCTGCTGCCCACAACTATTACTCGTCCTCCTTGTGATAGAAGATTCAAATCATTATTAAGATTTACATTAGCTAACATTTCAATGATCACATCAATTCCTTTTTCACCAACGGATTTCTTAATTTTAGCAATATAATCATGTTCCCTGTGGTTAAACACTTTATGGGCTCCATTTTGCAAAAACGATGTTTTGTCCTTCCTCAGTACCAGCTATTCCCAGAACCTCTAAACCATAAGCTCTAGCAATCTGAATGCTGCCAGTCCAACTCCTCCACTAGCCCCATGTACCAGAACACTTTCTCCAGCTTTCACACGCGCGCTGAGCAGAGCGCGATCAGCGGTAAAATGTGAGATGCCGATGGCAGCTCCTTGTTTAAAGTCCAGTTTTTCTGGCAGTGGGTAAACAGTGTGATTTGCTGCAAGAGCATACTCGGCATAGCCTCCAGAGATGGTGTTGGCAGTGAAAACTCTGTCACCTTTCTTGAAACATACATTGTCCCCAACAGCTTCTATTACCCCAGCCACATCTGAACCAGGAGTATAGGGTAAGTGTGTTTTTTTCCTGTGAGTACCAGAACGAATATATGTTTCCACTGGGTTTACACCACATGCGTGGACCTTGATTAAAATCTGATGGTCTTTTGGAGTTGGCACTGCCACGTCCGACTGGAGTTTCAGCACTTCCGGTCCACCAAATTCAAAAACTCTAATTGCTTTCATCAATTTCAGTCCGGTTGCCATGGTGATCCGGTTCTAGAGTGGGGAAGCAAACTCCGAGGGCTCATTCAGATTCCACAAAAAAGGGGACGGTGCATCTGTGTAAAATTATTTAAACAGTTAAAAAACAAAACAGTAAGTCTTACATTAAAAAATCTGTAGGCTTTTGCTTTAGTCATCTCTATTTAACCCTCTTTTGGTCAGTTCTGGAGCCTCACTCCCTTACTACCTTCTACTCTGCCAAAGTTTGCCTCTAATCAGCAAGACAGGTAAGCTTCCTGCATGCTGGTGATGTCCTTTGTACGGAGTTACTCCATCAGCAGGCACCAGACAGAATACCTCAGAGATCACTGCATATGCCAGGACTCTTAGAAACACAGCACTGCTACTTTGTCCTACTCTAAGGCATTCTAAATGTAATTCAGTTCTCACTTAACCCTGGGTGTTCAAAGAAATGGAGATGCAGAATAAAAATTAACAGTAGATCAAGTTTTACACAGTGTAGTTTTAGAAAGCCACTTTGTTCTTAAGAATCTTGAGAAATCATTATCCTGCCGATAACAAGAATTTTTCCATACATGTTACTAAATCACACTTAAATTGTTTACTATTTTGAAATTGTGTCTTTTTATATAAGTGTTTGTAAAAAAGTGTTTTTAGTATTTGTTTGCCTGAAAAAGGAAATCAGAGGAAGAATGTTCAACAGTCACAATCTGTATTTAAAATCCTTAAATAACAGTTCTGTGTGATTCAGCGATGAAATTATGCATTTAAAAAGGTGACAATAGAATTTTCTTTTGAACATTAATAAGTTATGGGATTAATATATGTGTGAGGTCTAGTTAATATATTCAGTTATTGAAGCTAATGAATAGAACTAATGAAAAGAAATTTAGCACCGTTATTAGCCTTCTCTAGGAATTTCCAACCACGGCTTCCAACTGGCTTGATGGATAACCGTGAAGGTGGTGCATTACGAAAGATATAAAGATAATGTCTTCTTAATTTAGGCTTTAAATGTTAAACACCAAAATAAAGAGAGGTCAATAAAAATTATATTTTACAGTGCTGTCTGAGTAACCAGCAGTCCCTGATCTCCTTAGTGTACATGCATGTCTCATTAACCTTCATGGAAATGAGGCAGGAAGATAGAGAAGAAATACCATAGGTTTTGGAATCAGTATGAGGTTTAAATCTTAGCTAGGTCATTTAATTGTTATATGATCTCAGGCAAGTCACTTGACTTTTCTTAGCCTCTTTTCAAAAGTGTTAACTTGGGACAACAGGACCCACTTTATAAATCCAGTTTTGAGAAAGAAGAATGTAAAGTATTGCACACATTCCGCTGTTTGGTGAGGGATCCCTCGCACCTTCTACTGCTCTCAAACAAACACGAAGTTGGAAAGTGGCTCTTTTTATTTCCCATTTAAAAGCAAAATAAGTTTGTTTGTTTAGGTGCTGCATGTACTTCTCATTCTTAACTAATTTGGTTGCTAAAACCATTCTCTTGGCATTTTTCAGGTTTCCTTTTACTTAAAAAGTATAATTAATGCCTACCAAGTGAAACTCTCATTGAGCTTTCAGTCAAATAAAGGTAGGAATGAGCAATTCCATCTAAATGTAACTGTACAGAAGTGACAGATACTATGTGAGTGAAATGGTGATAGACTTCAATCTATCCATTATAGAAATTATTATAACACTAATTTATACTCTTGCTAGACAATTTCCCCCGTTCCCAATGGATGTTGAGAAAAGTTATTTGAAATGTACACTTACATAGCTCTCTTGGGTAGTCTATGAAGATAATGCTGAAGACAAAGGCAGAGAGAAAATTAAAGGTGTCAGTCAAAAAAGAGTTAGGAAATTCTAGGAAAAAAATGGCATAAAAGAGTCACTGTGAGAAATGGCTAAATAAGATTTAAAAAAGAAAAGTTTCCCAAAATAAAGGAACCAAAATTTTGGCAGGAACCAAAATGATATTGGGATAGAGCAATGAAAGTCAGCAAGAATACTTTTTATTTCAAAATCATGTGAAAAGAAAGTGGGGACAGGAAGTTTGAAAAATATATTAAAGAAGTGTACATATACCAGAATAAGCACACATCATAAATAAGTGCCTTGCTGAGTTATTCTGAACCCTTATAAAAATCATCCACATTAGGAAACTTCTAGAACATTAATGCCACTCAGACAGAATCCTTAATTATGCCTTCATCCAAATACTATTACCTCCCCTCCAAAGGTACCACTCCTGACTTCTAGCCATTTTTATTAACTTTGTCCATCTATAAGTGTGTTAATATGTACTCTTTTGTATCTGTCTTATTTGCTCACTATTATGTTTCTAAAATTAATTCATGTTGTATGTAGCTTTGTGGGGATTTTTGGTAGCAGTAGTTTTGTTTTTCTTTTCATTTCAGTATATTGTTATAGCATATGAAATAGATCACAATTTATTTTTGTTTTCTATTCTAATCAGGATAGATATTTGGGGTTTATTTCTATTTGAGGGCTATTGCAATAAATGCTATTTTGAACATTTTCATATATTTTTTTAGGTAATCATTCACACCGATTTCTGTTAAGTATATATACTTAGAATTAGAAATATCACAAATAAGGTATACAAATGTTCCGTCCTAATCAATAAAACCAACTTTCCAAAGGGGTGTATCAATTTGGTATATATGCCTCTCAGTAGGTATGAGAGTGTTTGTGGCTCTACATTCTCACTAGTAGCCAGTCTGATTAGTTTGTAATGGTACTGCATTGTAGTGTTTATTTGCACTTCCCTGACTATTGATGAGGTTGGGATCTTTCAAATGCGTTTTTGCCTGAGTATTTTCTTTTCTGAAATGCTTGTTCAAGTGTCTTGCCCAATTTGCTATTTGGTTGTCTGTCTTCTGTTATTTGGTTGTAGATGGTATAGAAAGTGATTTTGAAGCATAGACAAGATACACGACTTCTAGTGATCATCTAAAAAGAAAAAATATTAATCA